TATATATATATATATATATATATATATATATATATATTACATATATGTATACATGAAAAATATATCGAAATGCATGTGGATACTCAAATGAAAGCTCTTGATGAGTGTAACATCGGAATGAGCTTATATCTTTAAAAATGTTAATAGTTAAAAAAGTAGAGTGCAATTTAACAAAAGTCATTATTTAATAAAGCAAAATTTTATTTATTTATATTTTACACAATTTTCTTAATTAGTAAACATAATAGTATGAGTAAAGTAAAAGATATCTATAGAATGATACTTAGTATAAAAACTCACATTAAAAATCATTTAATTACAATTTCAGTGTCAATAAAATTATTATGATAAAAACTAGTGATTAAGTAACACTATAAAAAAAATAGTAGACATTTACAAGATAGTCAAGGTTAAGAATTCAATTAATGATCAAAGTCAATGTCAATTAGATAAACTGACTAAGATTATTATAATTATTGTGTAATTATAGTTAATTAATTATTATCGTAATAATAATTATTATTATTTTTATTGCTCGTTACAGAGACATCCAAATAAAGTAACCCCGTTTCGGCAAAATCCTGCCCAATGGTTGAACAATTTGGCGGTAATGAAGCAAAAAAGTGGTGGTGGTCACCCGCCACCACCAAACAGCGGCTTCCCGACGGAACAACCGCCAGATTTGCCAGTACTCGACCCTAACGCTCCGTCGTTTTGGAATGACCAGTCCAATTTAAGAAGCCTGAATGGTAGCAATACTATGGGTAACCCCGAGTCTTCGTTGGACGATACAAATTTAGACGTGCCTTGCCTTGTGCCGAATTCCCCAGGAAATCCGGCGAATAATCAAAATCCTAATTCAACGATAGGTCCTAACTCACTACTGGGTGGATCAACAAGTCCAGGTCCAGGCGGACTCCAGCCGTCGTTACAAGGTGTAAAGGTTCCTGATGAAAATTTAACGCCACAGCAAAGACAGCACCGAGAAAATTCCCTCGCGACGATAAGGAAAATGCAGATGATGTTTTTTGCTGAGCAACAAAAAGACGATCCGAATGCCCAGATGGATCCATCACAACCGGGACCGCCGATGCCTCCTGGAGGTATTCCTGGAAATATGCCGCCTGTTAGTACACCTGGAGGTCCCGGTCCAAATAACATCGACTGGAACGTAAATAAATTCCAGCAATCATTTTTAGACGGAAAAAATAAAGTAAGTATATATATATATGAAAAATATATGAAAATGCATGTGGGTACTCAAATGAAAGCTCTTGATGAGTGTGACATCGGGATGAGCTTATATCTTTAAAAACATCAAAAGTTAAAAAAGTACAGTGCAATTTAACAAAAGTCATTATTTAATAAAGCAAAATTTTATTTATTCATCTTTTACAAGATACGGAAGTCACACAGTGACTGCAAGCTTGCTAGTAATTTTTAAATTCATAAAATTATTTTTTTTTAGGGTGGAATAGGAAGTCCCGGATCAGTATCACTGCGTGGATCGGGTATGATGGCCGGTATGCCGCGGAGTCAAGGACCTCCGCCGCCCTACCACCAGACAACGCGGTCAGCCAGTGTGCCAATCGCAACTCAAAGTCCAAACCCGTCCTCGCCGAACAATCCGACGAGTAACCTGTCGTTGCCATCACCGCGAGCGAACTCGGCGCTCAATTCTCCTGCTGACTGCAATCGGCAGTTTCAGCTGACGTCTCAGCGGCCCGGACACTTGCCAGGGCAGAGTCCGACTAGTCAGGATTCACCGAACCCCGGTTCGCAGTCCGCTACGTCTACCACGAGATTAAATCATAGTAATCCTGGGACTCCGGTCTCACACTCACATTTAACATCACTCAGTCCCAGTAATACACCACAAAAAGAGTCTTCTCTTGAATTTCCTTCTAATCAACCCAATGGTAATTATTTTTTTTTTATTTATTCATTAATAATACTTTATTAATAAAAAATATAATATTATATTTTTTTAATTAATATAATTATAATTTATAATTAATATAATATTATAATTTTTTAACAGTGGATAATATGTTTGGCCGGACGCTGCAATCACTAGCTCAACAAAAGCAACAGCACGGTGGTATGGTGAATGCAGCTGGCGTTAAAGAAGCAAGCTTAATGCCTGTACCAAGCCCTCAGCAGATAACATATGTTAATTCATTTGAAGGACAAGAACTGACCATCCAAAAACAGCCTAACACTAGTTTAAAGGACGGTCATCTTCAAAAGTAAGTATTTATTTATTTATATATTTATTATGCATACACGGAAAGAACAAGATGACACTGAATATCATCCAAGATTATACTGAGTGAAAAAAATTTTCAGATAGTAGCTAGTATAATCTAGATAACAATGAGTAAAATTAAGATATTACTGAGTTGAATTTGAATTTTTCTAGCTACTATCTAAAAATTTTTTTTTCGCCACAGATATCACTATAATCTGGGATGACTCCAGTATTATTTTATTCTTTCCGTGTACTTTATATTTTATCTTTTAGCAAAAATATAATTTTATTTTTTTATGTTCAGTAACAACAACGTGAACAACACAGACATGTCTGGAAGACTAGTATCCGGAAATATGGACAACAATAACCAGTATCCAGCAAGATCCGAGGGTTCAAGTCCGTCGATGGACAGCATGAACCGCGGCTTCGGTGCTTCCTTACACAGTCCTCACACGCCACACACGCCTCACACTCCAGGTAACGGCGCGCCTCAGACTCCAGTGGACGTGAAACCCAACAAATCTTCCGCTAGCGCACAAAGCAGCCCAGTGCCGATGAACCCCATGTCAGACAGCATGGGACCTCCCAGAACGGTACCTGCCTCGCCTAATACTAAGCCTGAAACATCACCGCCTTCCAAGGAGCTTCAGCCGCCTCCGCAGCAGTCGCAACCTCAAGTACAACCTCCGCCACAGCAACAACAGCAACAACAGCAACAACAACAACAACAACAACAGCAGCAACAACAGCAGCAACAACAACAACAACAACAACAACAACAACAACAACAACAACAACAACAACAACAACAACAACAACAGCAGCAGCAACAAATGCCGCCCCAACAAATGCAACAACCTCCAACGCAGCAGCAGCCTCCAGGAATGAACCCACAAAACAACCAAACGAATAACTCCGGACCACCAATGGGTAACCAAATGGCCCCCTTTCCCTGTAGTAGAGCCAACCAGCCGGACAATCAGCCTCTGGATCCAAACAACATGAGAGGTCGTCTCGGTGGCATGTCTATGAACCACAGTGGTCCGTTCATGAACATGGGAGGTGATCCAATCACCTCGCTAGCACAAATGAGTCAACAGCTGTCCAGCACCGTGGCGAGCAACACGGTGGGCAACGACGGCGGGCCAATGCATTCCGGCAACCCCGGGATGATGCCTTTCAACAATCCGCACAACATGCACATGATGCAAATGAGCGGCGGAGAAATGAACGGCGGCTGTCATATGGGTGGCGGAGTAAATGAACCCAACGACGTCAGTGGAATGTGTATGGGTCTAGGAGGGCCTCCTGGAGGTAGCTACAGTCCGACAACATCTCACACAGGCAGTCCAGTTGGGCCTAACAAAATATCCCACTCCATGATGAGTCACGGTGGAATGATGGGCCACAATGGCCCTCCAGGTCCGGGAGGTGGGTACGGTGGTGATCATGCGCCTCCTCCCAGACTGATGGGGCAGCACATGGGTGGTCCCAGTCCTTACAACGGAGCTAATATCCAGGTGAAACCCAGCGCTCCAAACACAATACAGTACTTACCCGCGAGGCCGAATGTCGGACATCCTCCCCGTGGGCCTCCGAGTCTTGACTTTCTTCCGCGTTTTGGCAACTCCATGGGCAACATGGAGAACAAAATGCAGCAGTCGCCGTCAGTTAATCTCCAGTACTTCCCGAACGGGTGCATGCCCAACAACATGGGTGGAGGACCGCCGCAACCTCCTCAGCACTCTGTAGGCATGCCACCGGGTAGTATGGGCGGTGGGCTTCCTGGTATGGGACCCGGGGGAGGCTTAGGTCCTCCAAGAATGGACGGTGGCCAGCAAATGAATCCCAACATGCATCCGTCTATGAGGCCGTCTGTCGGCAATATGCGTCCTCAGCCGAACATGATGCGCATGCAGCAGCACATGGTTGGTGGTGGTGTCTTCCCCGGCAGTCCGATGGATCCTGACAAAGTCTTCCCGCCGGATATGGTGCCGCAAAACCAGGTTCCTAATCAGAATCAGATGTATGGACCTGCTGGAAAAGGTCCTATGGGATTAGGACCTCCTCCAGATGCCTCCCAGCCGCTTCCTCCCAGTATGGGTGGCGGAACGGGGAACTTCAAGAACAGCCCTTTCGTCGGCGGTGGACCCACTATGAATGATCCTAATTACGCCCAACAATTTCACAACTTCCAGCAGCAATTGTACGCGACTGGAACGAGAGGCAGTGGCCCGCCTCATCCCAGTCTTCATCCACCGCCAAACTCCCACGCGCATCAACAGTTCTTCATGCCTAAATAAAACATACAGGACTACTTGTGCTGGTAAAAAATAAAAAAAAAAAAAATAATAATAATAATAAATAAATTTAAATGCCGATCGTTCAAGAACTGATTTAAATACTAAATATTAAATATGAATGATAAGCGAGCGTGTGAACGAATCGGGCCTTTTTTTTTATTATCGATAGAAGTAATAATAAAAGTATAAAAATTAAATTAATTTAGAATAATAATTATTCCCTCGCTACCACTTTCGCGAGTCTCTCCAATGCAACAACGGTGTTCCGTGCAATATAATAATAATTAATAATTAATTATTGTCATTATTAATTAATATATAATTATTATTAACTATATTCTTATTATTAATTGTAATAATAATAATAATAATAATAATTATAATTATAATTGTTTTATTCGTTAGTATCTCCACACGTGGGTATTCGGCTGCGATATATAATAAACATTGTAAATTCTCTTATACGTCATCTATTATTATTATTATTTTAATAATTGTACGGCTTACAAGTTAATTGGTGATATATATTGAGGGTGGTGTGTTAATAATGATATTATTAATAATAATAATAATGACGTAGTACTGTAAATATTTGTGTAAAATCAGGCTTATCTGTCCGAATAGTACATTGTTAATTGTATCGCTCGGAATGCACGTGTCATTAATATTGTTGTATGAGATTTGAAAAATGCGAATGTGGTATTACATTGCTAACATCTTTAATTTTTATTATTTTATTATTGATATTATTATTATTGTTATTATTATTATTATTATTATTATTATTATTATTATTAATACGGTAATGGATACACTAGTATGATTATAGCAAAGAGAAATTTTTAACGATCTCTAAAAATAATATTTTTTTTTTTAAATTACATTTGATTTAAGAGCCAAGTGAAGAATCGAATGACCCCATTGACATGAAATTATTTTTATTATTATTATTATTATTATTATTATTATTATTATTATTATTATTATTATTATTCGTGTCGTCGTTGACATGTGAATGAAATTTATAGATTAGATATATATTTATAAGAGCAGATAATTTAGTTAATAACTAAAGTGTTTTTAAAAATTATTTTTTTTAATTTTAATTGTAAAATTAAATAACTTTTTAAACGAGGAGAAAATTTTACAGGCTCAAAAAAAATTTCGTAATTGTATATATACGCGATTATATATTAATAATCCCATCCATATTACATAACTTGGATAGTTATCCGTCTCTTTTATTTTTAATCCCAATTATTATTATTATTATTGTTATTATTATTATTTAATTAATTTTTTGTAATAAATATCCGCATAATTATAACTTGCATATAAAAAAACATTAATTATTAGTAATAATAATTATGATAACAATTAGTAATTATTATTATCATGGTTATTATTATTATTTTAATATTATGTATGAAATGATTAAATAATAATGGTAATAATAATAACTGACTAATTATGTTGTTGATGAATGATTTTTATTATAAAATGAAAAATAAAGAATATTTACAAGATGAATAAATAAAAAAAAAAATGAAAAAAAGTCAAGTGCATAGAAGTCACTTTCAGCAAATGTTATTGTATTGATTGTAGTAATTTTAGTAGATGGTGAGAAAAGATGATTGTTTTTTTTTCTTCAATTAAATGATCCTACCGCAACACACAAATTTATTAATTATTATTATAATGTATTATAGAGTTCATTAAAATGATGTTTTTAATATTTAAATAATATTCTTTTTTTTTATTCCTTACAATTCCCTAATAAATATTAAAGCTTTAATTATTAAATAATTTTTTTTTATTAAATTAGGACTGGAATTTTTAAATTAGAAAAAAATCTAATGCAGTTTATTATAAAAAAATCGTCTATCGATTTATGTAATTTATTTTTTAAATATCACTTAACACTCTAATATTTCAAATAATTATTTATCACTCTATAATTATGATTTTATATTTTTTAATTAAATATATTAGAGTGTCGACTGTTAAAATATCACAATGATAAATTAACGCGCATATACTAAATTTTTACTTTCATACTCCTATAATTTTTAACGAAGTACGATCTAATTTAAATCATAGTCCTCTGCGAGCAAATATATATATTATATATAATATAATAATTTCAAATCTTTATTATCTATCATTCAATTAATCAATTGATTAATTAGTCATCAAAGCTTGTGGCATTTTTCGAGCTCCAGTCTCCTTTTCATCTGAAAAAAATGAAAACAAAAAATCGTGTACTTATTTGAAGTCTATTATACTTTAAAGAGTTATCAATTATTAGGTGATATAAGTGCTAAGGTATTTAATTAAATTATTATTATTATTATTATTATTATAGTTATTCGTAAGGTTATCAGTGCGATCTAAATAATAAATTACACAATCCCGAATGGACGCAAACTTGTTAAAAGCCTTTCACTGACTGGAAGTTTTCAAACGATAGTAAATTATTATAAAATTAAATTTTATTTATAAATATCACCAAGTATTGAGATAATTATGTGTTAAAAAAAATTTTTGGGCCATAACTAGGTGAAAAATTGACATTTTTAATTTTTCTTTGATTCTGCTTATTTTTACGGTGAATTTATAAAATTTTTTTGAAAATTTGTTAAAATTGTGATAATTAACTTTTTTTTTTTTAAATTGTTCATTTTTTCAAGTACTTTTCAAAAAAAAATATATATCAATAAAATCAACAAGAAATTTCGTTCAAAAAAATGAAAATGAAAATGGTAGACCCCTACTTGTAAATATTTACCAAAAAATTAATTTTTTACCGAGCGATAAATTAAAATAAAATAAAATTTAATGTCAACTCCCGTAAGATTAAACAACGCGTTTACCTTGAACGTTGTTTGTCAGTATAATTGGCATTACCATTGATGCTAAAAGAGTAATGAACAACTAATTGCACTCATAATACTTAAATAAAAAAAAAAATATTTTTTATAAATGAGAAAACCTTTTTTTCTCTGGAACGAAATCATCCCATTCACTCAAATCATATTTTGATAAATCTCCTTCTTCATCGTCATCTTCATCTTCATTTTCTTCTTCATCATCATCATACTGCAAATTATAATTATCAATTATTAATTATTCATATTAATAAAATTATCATGAATCACGAAGATTACTTACATTACTTTTAACTTCATCACGCAGCGCCGAATCATCGGCTATTTTATCATCACTAGAATCTTTAGACTTACTCCTCGGCGAGCTACTGTACTTAGAATCCTTAGAATCATCATCAGAGCGATCAATTTTTCTTTTCTTGCGTCGCCTACCGAACTCATCGTACTCATCATCGTCATCATTCCGTCGTTCTTTGTACTCGACTACTCCTCGATCATTGTAACCACCTCCATATCCAGTTCGCTCTTCAACTTCACCAAATTTAGGTGCATTGCACATATTACATTGCTGTCGTCTTGCCCAGTTGACGTTACCACATTTGCTACACTGCCAATCATCAGCACTAGATACAAAAAAATAATTTTATTAATTAATTATTTATTTATTACTTAAATTAAAAATTAACATCTGATAATTTTTAGTTTCATTTTAAAAATGAATTAGCACAGAAAAAATATTTCATAAAATTTCTAATTGTAGAAATTTTTTTTGCAATAAATTTTTTACTAAATAAAATTTTAAAAAATTATCAGATGTCTTCTAATTTCAGTTTCATATTTTATTGATAAGTTACCTAAATAATCCGCGACTTTTTTCAGCAGCAACTTTACCTATTTCTTGGCCGAGTTTTTTCTTCTTAGCATACTCTCCTCTATCTACAACAAAACAATTTTAATTAATTGAATTATTACTACTAAATTTTATCGTATTATAAAATAGTAAAATATTTCAAATTTACTCAATACATAATAAAAAAAAATATATATTTATTTTTAATACCTTTTCCACAGCGATTACAAGAATTGCGTCTGGCAAAGTTGACATTTCCACACCTGTAGACGTCAAAAAAAAAAAAAAATGATTAGCAAATGAATAATCAATTAACTGATAAATAAATAATTAAAATACCTCAACAGCTAAGTAAATAAATAATTAAAAATACTAAATACAATAATAATACTAACTGTGAATCAGGACAGAGCCAATCGCCATCGTTGATAGTTCGTTGACTATCATCTTCACTTTTAATCCCATCCATCGTACTAATTTATTTTTTATTAACAACTAATTATATGACACCTATTAATTATTACTTTAAAAATTCTTAGCCTATATGACACTATCAAGATCAGCGTATTAAAAAAATACAAATAAATATCATTAAATATACGGATATGTGAACATTTTAAGGTGTCACGATTTTATTCGCGTTTATTGATATTTTATAAAGTCTAATGACTAACACTTGATAAAATAATTTATTTATTAATATTGTTTTTATTTAATATTTTTGTTTTAAATAAAAATAGTACGGCTATTTGGTATTTGGAATTTTGTTGGTATTTTTATTAAAAATAAAGTACCGAATGCACTAGACCAAATATAATATAGTTATAAATATATCACTAAATATATTTATATATTTAAATCTATGTGTATGTACATACAGTGTGTAGAATAGAATAAGTGATAATTGGAATCAGCAAATATTTTTTTGCAATAAAGATCAGAAATAAAAAGAAATATATTAACTCACAAGAGGATATATAAAATGTGTTAAATGTATCGACCGAATAAGATGGTACGTAGATAATAATCCATTTTATCGACACTTATATTATTTCTATGTATTTTTATGTCTTGAGCGACTACAACGCCATTGGTAGTTAGTGTCATTACATAGAAACTTACAAATGGGACTTAAAAGTGAAGTTAGCTGACAGCTGTCAATTTTTTTAATTTAAAAAAAGAAATTAATTCGAAAAAATTATTTTTTTTTTTATTTTTTACGTATGGAATTTATATGAAAATTTATATGAATATTAATAGTTAGCTGACATTCAACAATTTTTGATTTATTTTATTAATTTAATTAAGTTTAAAACAATATTTTTTAAAAATTGCACTTGTAATTTTTCAAACTTTCTGTAAGTAAAATTTTTTCTTTTAAATAATTTTTCAATAAAATAAATTATAAAAATTTTAAGATGTCAGCTAATTTAATTTTCGTCATATTTAATAATTTTAAAAATTTTATAACAAATAAATTACGGCAAAAAAAAAAAAATAAGAAAAAAAAACTGACATTTAGAAATTTAAAAAAATAAAAAATGCAATTTTTTAAAAATAATTTTTTGGAACAAATCTTTTTGTTAAATAAAATTAAAAAATTGTCAAGTGATTGCTAACTTTGTAATGTCATATTCAATTGTTATAAAATTATAAATAAATTTTGTAATGTCAGTTAACTTCAGTGTCTTAAACTGAACCACAGGATATAAAATCGTGTGTGCTGTTGCTGTCGCTGTGGTTGTTTGTTGATTTTATAATTTCACTAAAGTTTTAAGTGCGATAACTTGTCAGTAGTTTTAAGTTTACCAAAAAAATCAACAATAAAAAAGGTAAACAAACAAAACATTAACAATTAAATAAAATTATTATTAACTTACTATTTATATTAAAATTAAGATTTATTTTTTTTTTTTAAATCAAACATTAAAAACTCCATTTTTTTTCAGGTTATACCTTGAAGTAAACACAAATGATGTATTACAATTAATTTATTAAATAAAATAGAAATACCAAATAAAAAATGTCAGCACCACCAACTGGCCAGAATTTATTGCGTTCTTCTGCATTAGAATGCAAGGATTTACACGAGTATTTAAAAAGCAGACCTCCGGAGATCTTGAACAGACTTTACCATAACCCGCCAATTTGTCTGGCGGTGTTCCGTGAGCTTCCGACGATAGCGAGGCACTACGTAATGAGGCTGATGTTCGTCGAGCAACCAGTTCCTCAGGCTGTAATAGCATCCTGGTGCTCGAAGCTCCACTCCGACGATCACCGGAACGTCGTCCAGGTTCTCAACGAATTAAATGTCTGGAAAGAGGCTTCAATCCCTGGAGGCATGCCGGGCTGGACGTTGAACTCTACGTTCAAGAAAAATCTTAAAATTGTTCTAATAGGAGGCGGCAAGCCTTGGACTATGTCCACCCAAATGGAGACTGATAATAAGCCGAGAGATGAAGCTTTTCTAGATTCTTATGCTATACAGAGGTGGGAATGTCTTTTGCATTACATGGTAGGGTCGTCAGACCAGCAAGGAATCTCTGCTGACGCTGTAAGGATTCTGTTACACGCAGGACTTATGAACCAAGAGAGTGATGGGAGTCCTGTTATTACTAAAGCTGGTTTTCAATTTTTGCTACTTGATACAGCTTCACAAGTGAGGATTTGTTAATATGTATTTTATTAATATTCAAACATTAAATTTTCTTATTTAATTATTTGGAAATTATAATTAAATTATGAAAATTAAATAAGCTGATGTTGGAAAATTTTTATAATTTTTTTGTTGATAAAAATCATTTTTATTTATTTATTAATCAACATTTTTTAATTATTTTAATTTATTAATCAACATTTTAATTTTTAAAAAATTAAAAGAAAAAATTTGACATGTAGAAAATTTTAAAAATTCCAAGTGCAATTTTTAAAAAATATTTTTTTACTTATAATTTTTATTAACTCAAAAAATCAAAGATTGTCAAATGTCTACTAATTTTAGTATTAAAATTAGATTCTAAAATTTTTAATTAAAATTCTAGGTCTGGTATTTTATTTTACAATACTTGGACACCATTGAAGCACGAGGTCTTGATCTCGTAGAATGTCTAACATTTTTGTTTCAATTAAATTTTTCTATACTTGGTAAATATTATAGTACAGAAGGTATGTCTGCAAATTTGCTGACATTTTTGCAACACTTACGAGAGTTTGGACTTGTTTTTCAACGTAATAGAAAATCAGGAAGGTAATTTAAAATAAAAAATAATTTTTTTTAATTATTTTCTCTATTTATTATTTTAAAATTAATTAAATAAATTTTATTTTAGATTTTATCCTACGCGATTAGCGTTAAATATTGCCACGGGAAAAAATAAACCAATGGCTCGAGATATTGAAAAAGAAGGATACATTGTTGTTGAAACAAACTACAGGGTATATGCTTATACTTCTTCACAATTACAAGTCGCTCTGCTTGGTCTTTTCTGTGAAATGCTGTACAGGTAATTTACTAATTGATTTTTCCAAATTGTGTTATATTAATTATTTTAGTAACAATATTAACTAAATGATTTTCAATAGGTTTCCAAATTTAGTTGTAGCAATATTAACTCGTGATTCAGTAAGACAAGCTCTAAAAAGTGGTATAACGGCACTCCAAATAATAGGGTATGTAACTAAAGTTTTTATTATGAATAAAAAATATTGAAAGTATATTATCATTTTTTATTACAGATTTTTGCGTCAACATGCCCACGGTAAAATGATTGAAGCAGGTCCACCGACGCTACCTCCAACAGTTGTCGACCAAATAAAACTATGGGAAAACGAGAGAAACAGGTTTACTTTCAGCGAAGGCGTTTTATATAGCCAATTTTTATCACAAACTGATTTTGAAACATTACGAGACCATGCTTCATCAACCGGTGTACTTATTTGGCACAATGACAGGTATTTTAATTTTTTACAATTATTATTATTATCATTAAATCCATCTAATGTGTTATTTTAATTGGTTAAAAATATTTGTTGCAGAAAACGAACGATGGTCGTCGCTAAAGCTGGACATGATGATGTTAAAAGATATTGGAAGCGCTTTTCAAAAACTTCTAATTAAGTTTTTGTGTAAATATTAATTATTACAATGTAATTATCATAATAATAATAATAATAATATAGAAATAAATTCCATTTTTTTATACATTAATTAGTTTAATTAGAAAATATTTCTTCTTACAAATTAATTTTCTATATATATTTCTATCACAATTGGTCATACTTAAATTAATAAAAAATATCTACAGTTAAAATTTTTTTGACAGATATAAATTAAAAAATAAATTGTTTCATTACAATTCATATATTGTTTTTTTATTTATTCACAGTTCTTACATTTTATTAACTAAAAAAATTTGTTTTTATAAAAATATGCTACAGGTATGTATCTTAATAACGAGTTAATTTAAATATTAATATTTCTAATTAAAAAACAAAATTTAGAAAGAATTTGGACTAAAACTAATGTTTAATCTAATCAATAGATGAAAAATTACTATGAAACTTAATTTATTTCAACTTTTTAGGTACCCTTTGTAAATTAAAAAAAAATTTTTTTTAATAATTATACAATTGAAAATATGCATAATTAATTGAAAAATATTTTTGTTGTTAACAAAATTGATTTATACACTTACTCATAGGTTGTTTTATAAATAATGAGAATGATTATGGTCGTCAAATTATTATACAACATGAGTGATGAATGCGTTTAAGAAGATTCATAAATCCCAAATTCGTCCTCATGTCAGCGTGATGGCGCAGGTTTTGGTTTCGGCATTTTACCAAGAAGCCCCTGAATCTCTTTTTTCTCATCATAAGTCTTCCAAAGCTCATATAAATTAATAATATAACGAGCTATCTCTTGGATTTTTTCCATATCAGCATTAAGTTCGGCGAACCATGACTTCAAATCTTTCTGAAGAATAACACAGGCAATTTGCAAGCATCCAATAGCTATTTGATAAGGAGGGTAAAGAAGACAAACGTCAGTTCTTAAGCTGTCGTTTATGATTCTCCAGGCCAAAGTCAGCAACTGATCGTCAGGCCCAACGTCTTGAATCAGAGTCAGCAGCGGTCTATACGGCTGGTATACTATCAGACAACAGTCGAGATGTTCCAAGAGATAAAATTCACACTCCAGAATGTTATTTGTCCGGTAGGGAAACTCTTGGGCGTAGGCGTAATTAAATTTGTTTTTTACTGCAAGATAATTTACTCGATTATAAAGTTTGCTTCAACGTTGTTCAAGTTTTAATGATGTTAAAATTAGCACATAACACAGAAATAATGTTTTTAATTACTCACCAACTGTTTGACATGTGGTTATTAAACGACTGTTTGATATCACACCAAATTCCTCGACTTTGGATGCCAAAAATACAGATGTTGGAGCCAATAATAACGGGTCAATACATTTTAAACTATTTCGTGCGTAAAAACGCTTGAAATAAACAGTCGCTGTTGCTATTACTTGTTGTCTTAATTTTAATTGCTCTCCTAGTACTTGAATTACTAAAATAAATTTTTTTAATACAAAAATTATTAAATATTTGCATTTAAAATTTTTTAAATAATTAGTTGGTTATTTTAATACTTACAGTTAGCAAAAAATATAAATAATTTCTGATATTCCTCTTCATTTAATCCCTGTTGCATGTCAATTTGTCTTTCTCTGATTAAATCTTGTTTATCCAGTAACCATTGTTGGCTAAAAAAAGAAAAAAAATTGTCAACTACTTCAAGTTACAACAATAAATAAAAAAATGTACTTACTGATGTGAACTTTGCCAAAAATTCCCAGCCATTATTAAACACAATTAATAAAACTTAATTATCTCCAGAAAATTTTAAGTTTTCCAGAAAATTCACAAACAATTTGCATTTGTAAATTTTTAATACTTATCACAGCTCTAAAAAAAATTCAATATCACTAAAAATGTTTTTTATCATTTATTATTATCACAATAATTAACTATGTACCTGTTTATAGTTCATAAATTGTAATTATTAATTTTTGTTTATAAAAATTTTTCTCTCTCACTTTTTCAACGCTAAAATCAGCTGAGTTTATTTCTAGTTATCTTTTTTGCCACCAGAGTTGTGCGCGCTTGCGCGGAAACTTTTCGCGGGAAATTTTGAAAAGAGAATTAATTATTAAATCATATCTTTTGATTAATCTTTATTAAATTTTTTTAAATTAATAAAAAAAGTTTAAAAGTTAATTAAATAATTTTATTAATTGTTTTTTTTTTATTAAATATTAAATAAAAAAAAAAAAAAAAGTTAACGATTTAGATGATGACGAATTTTATTGACAAACATCCGGGCATTTAATCCGTCACACGATCCTCCAGTTAATTAGTATAAATTGGAATGCTCTCAAGGCTTTGCACAAATTCCGGACAATTGAATTATAAATTTCGACATTGTAATTATCATTATAATTATAATTATTATTATAAAATAAAAAATACATGATAATGATAAAAAAAATGACCGCCAGAGAAAAGTCGAGAATTTTTAATACGCTCGATTAACTATTTAGTTTGCGCAAACCATAAATAGATTAAATACAAGGTATGATAATAAATAATTAGAATTATAAATAATCAATAAACAATTGACCCATAATAAAATAACTAAACTCGTATACTGTAACTTATTTTTTTTTACATTTTTTTATCTGCATTGTTACATACCAGTTTTATAAATACGCTTCGATATATTTATGTTTATAAATATCAAAGTTAATTGAAAAAATTAGATAAATTAAATCCGGTCGAAAAATTAAGCGGTAAAAAAAATAACGATTAAAATAGTTTTATTAATCCCTGTGTTGTATTATGTGTAATTACAGTTTTATTTTTATCGGTGGAAATTTTTAGGGAAGAAATAATGATCTAATAAAAGTCTTAAATTACAGATCTCGTTTCCTGAGTCATTGAACGGGTGTTATTTTTTAAAAACAAGATTCCTTGGTTAGGTTCCATTCAAGCCGACTGGCCATTCATTTTCTATGTATATACTTATATACTTATATATACGTACATTTATATGTAAATTTAATTATAATGTCAGTTTCTTAAAAATTATCTTGATGGCAATAAAACAGATTTATTAACTAATTTATAAATTTAAACAAAAAAAAAATTTTATTATAGTTTTTAAAACAATAAAAATCAAAATATTAATTATAAAATAATGAAATTCACATTTAGATGATTAAAAAATTTGTAAGTCTATTTTTTTAATTATTAATTTGACACTTGATAATTTTTTTAATAATAGCAAAAAATTTATAAATGTAATTTTTTTTAAATATTTTTTAGAGCTAGTTTATTTATCGAAAAAAATTATTAAATGTCTCCCAACTTTCGAGTCATTTTCTTTTATTTCAAAAAATTTCTACTTGTCAATTTTTTTTCTTAGTTTTTTTTTTTTTATGAAAATTAATTCAGGAGATATTTTATAATCTTAAGAATTTTTTTAACAAATAAATTAAGTCAAAGAAAATGAAAAAAAAAAAAATTGACATTCATAAAATTAAAAACAATAAAAAATCAAATTTTTTAGAAATAATTTTTGGAGCAAATTTATTTATTAAAAAAACTTAAAAAATGGTAAAGTGACTGCTAACTTTAATGTCATGTTTTTTTTTTTACTATAATTTAATTATTGCTAACATTTTTAAAATGATTAAATATGTGCTAATTTAATTTTCATAAAAATTGACATGTAAAAATTTTAAAAAATAAAAAATGCAATTTTTTAAATTAATTCCAGAACAAATTAATGTCATAAAAATGTTGCTGACAATTTTAGTTAGCCGATATTTAAAAATTAAAAAGAATTTTTTTATTGAAAAAATGACTACAAATAAAAAGAAAAAAAAATTGTCATTTGTTAAAAACTTGAAAAACTGTAAGTGCAATTTTTTAAAAATATTTTTTTGTTCTAATTTGATTATTAAAAAAAAATTAAAAACGTCGGCTAACTAAAAATGTTGCTGACAATTTTAGTTAGCCGATATTTAAAAATTAAAAAGAATTTTTTTATTGAAAAAATGACTACAAATAAAAAGAAAAAAAAATTGTCATTTGTTAAAAACTTGAAAAACTGTAAGTGCAATTTTTTAAAAATATTTTTTTGTTCTAATTTGATTATTAAAAAAAAATTAAAAACGTCGGCTAACTTTAGTATTTTTAATTGTCAGCATAAATAAATTCAAAGAAGAAATAATCAAGACGTAACATGAGTATATCAACCGAGTAAGTAATAAATAAATAAATAAATAAATAAAAATAAACAATATCAGCAAGTACTCGACAGAAGCAGTAACCAGTGGCAGATTGGAGGCTAGGAGTGGAGCAGGCGTATTGGTCAGAGCAAAGGAACTTAGCCTTAGCAAACCAGCAACAGTAACAGTAACAGTAACATAACAGGCTGATGAAACTGTAGCGGTGATGTAGATGGTGATGCTGGTGTGCATAATATACGTATGAAAGACATAATATAACACACTACACTGTATGCCGTACTGTATATATGTGTGGAAGCATTGGAAGCATTGGAAGCATTGGAAGCGGACAGTAGAGAGTAGGGAGAGAAGCGTGAACGTCGAGAGCACGACGAGAGGGAGGAGCAGCGCTGCTTCCTGTCGTTGTTGGCGTTAGCCTAAAAAAAGGTTGGTTATACTTATACAGCCGTACTAATGCAATAGCTAGATCTTGTCTTACTGAGGACCGAATGTTTTCTCAATGCGACGAAAATGGTGAAGTGTGGCAAGAAGTGGGCATTGAGTAAGGCCTTGGAAATTTCAAACCATGACAGAAGCCTCGGACGAGTGAGTAAAACCTAATAATTCATACAAATCCCATATATTTAATATATTAATCGTCTTCTCAATCGACGACGACATTCTACTTTCAAGGGTGTTGTACCCATATCTCGTCTACTTCATTGTGAACGTGTTTACTCTCGACTTGCCATTTTTATCCTCATATTTATTTATTTATTTATTTATTTATATGAAAATCAAGTTAGCCGACATTTCAAAATTTTTAGAAATTTTTTATTGAAAAAATTTCAACTAAACAATTAATAAAAAAAATTGTCACATGTAAAAAAGTTTAAAAACTACAAGTGCAATTTTTTGGAAATGTTTTTTTAGTTGTAATTTAATTAATAAAAAAAAATCAAAAATTTTTACACGTCTTTTAACTTCAGTGTCATTTATTTATTTATTTATTTATTTATTATCACTAATTTATTATTTTTATTTTAGATAATTACTGTTGAGTGATCTATTGAAATATAAGCAGTTGATTTTATTAATTATTATTTTTGAGTCACTAATAAATCCTGAAGTTTGACTTGGTGAAGAAGCAGAATTGTCTTGGTGCTGAAAGCTTGGAATAAATGTTATGTGTGTTTTATTAATATTTTGTAAATTGTAAATTTGCAAGTGGTTTTGGTGTGATTGAAATTGGTTCATCGGCCTAACCTTGACGGCGACGTCGTCGTCGAGGGAAATACCGATCGTTGGCGACCACCGACACCGACAAAACACCCACACACACCCTCCACTTGATCAACTTAACACAGACAGACACTAAACTCTGTATGAAGACAGAAAATAAATGTCAATGTATATGTAGGACTTGGAGCATTCATGAAGACAAGTCATGCGCGGGTGTGAGTGCGTGTGTGCACGTTGCTGCTCGTTCATTCATCGAATCGATGTCAATGCGTACGCCTATTTTCCACATATTTCCTAGATTTTTATTTTATTTAACTTTATTATCATATCAGTCATGGTGCTTCTAAATCAAGGATTATTTATAATTATAATTAATTGTTAATTGAGTATGCATCGACGGAGGGTTTCATTATTGAAAATTTTAGTGAGCTTTGAAGTGACATGAGTACTGAAGATGATTCTATGGAAAGTGATCCGGGGTAGGGCGTTAAATTTTTTTTTTTTTTTTCAATCAAATTCAATTTAATTTAAATTTTATTTTGTGTAAGTAGAATTGTTCTAATTAAGGGTGGTTTAATTTTTGTTCCAGTGGTAACTATCTGGTGAGAGTTCAAGCCCAGGTGATGACGAGGGATGACAGCTCCGGGGGATGGGTGATATTGAGTGGCGGAGGTTTAGCTAATGTCTCGGTAAGACGAAGAGTTACCTCCACCGCGAGTAATGTTCCTCATCCACCTGGCAGTACCAATGGCACCAGTGTACCTGGTAGCACTCCTGTCACCTCTCCGTCATCATCTAACACTCAAAACTCTACGCCTGGGACAGTTGCCTCCTCCGCGAGTCATGGAGCCAGTACTTCGCCACCTAGCGCTAAGAGAAATCACGAGTATTTTATTTATGGTAGAAGAATCAAGGACCAGTCGGTGAGTTTCATTATATAAATTGTAATTATTTACAAGTGGGGTCTACTATTTTAATTTTCATTTTTTTTTTTAACGAATATTTTGATATATTTTTTATTGAAAAAAAATATAAAAAAAAAATGAAAAATTAAAAAAAAAATTGATTACCACAATTTTAACAAATTTTCAAAAAAATTTATATATTTTTTTAGAAAATTGTGTTATTCAACTTTTTTTTTTATTGTTCGTTTTTTTATGTACTTTTGCAAAAAAAAAATATATATCAAAAAAAGATAAAATAGAAATTTTATCCAAAAACATGAGAGCCAAAATTTTTTCCAACTTTTGAAGGCAAAAAAATCTATCGAAATCTTTATTTTTTTCTTTCACGACATTTTTTATCATAAAAAAATTAAAAAATGTTAATTTTTCACCTAGATATATCCAAAAATAATTTTGACCCCACTTGTAAATAATTACCAAATAAATAAACATTAATATTAATGAAAAATTAAAAATCAACGGAGAGATAGTGATGAAAGTTTTAATTTTTCTGTCCATGGCTGCTGGCAACAGGTTGTTTTAAGCTGCACAATCAAGAAGGACTTCCAGTACAATAAGGTGATGCCGACGTTCCACCACTGGTGTACCGGGGAGAAGAGGTTCGGCCTGACGTTCCAGACAGCCGCGGATGCCCGTGCCTTCGACAAGGGAGTTCGCCGAGCAGTAGAAGAACTGTTGGAAGGTGATTGATAATCTTCGATTAAACATCTACTACTCACTTGACATTTCAACGCCGATTGTTTCATTTTCACCTATTTAACGCTTTATTGTCTTGTCTATCTGCTATTCTTTGGATTACCTACTTACTTGGTAAGATCTACAGTAGAAGCTTTTATTTAATTTTTTTTTTTTTTAACAATTAAATGTTACAGTTTTTTTTTCTTTTTTTCACTAATCTAACTCGCTTGTCCTTCCTTTGCTGATTGAATACATAAATAATATTTAACAGGGCTCACCGATTCATCTTCACCTGCGACTCCAGACGCCGGTGACGACGGTGTTTTCATGGTGTGTATTCATACCAAGTATTTTATTAAATTAATAAGAAATAAATTAATATTTATTTAATAATAAATTAAAAAGAAATAAATTAAATATTAATGCAATATAAATATTTTTGCTGGTGATGAATTTTAGACAGTGAACCTGCCAGCAGAGCCAGCTGACCCACGACAGTCCTCGGATCCACCTCGTGGGATAGTTCGCGTACCAAATTATCATTCCCAGTGTCCAGAGCTGCCGGATCCGCACAAATCCAGTTCAATTCACTACATAAGCGGTCCATCGGTCAAGGTCCCACCCAGCCATCATCCCCTCGAGTCCAGTGGCGACACTGTCTCCGATAATTACCCCTACGTCCAGCTGACGACCCTCAACCACGATTACCTGTACCCTGTGATCGACGAGCAGAAGAGCGATCGCAGTCCCGTCGAGAGACGGCACTCCACCGGTTCCCTCAAGAAACCTGACATCATTATCACCCAGCCGACCAAGAGCGCGAGCAAGGAGCGCAACCATGCAAGGCTCAAGTGTAGGCATTGTCAGGAAATGTACACGGAGCACCAGAATCCAAGAGGGTCTTGTGAGTACGCGCCTGATAAGGTCAAGGATGGAATTTCCACGGTGTCTTGTCTGCTCTGTGCGCGCTGTATGCTTTATCACTGCATGAGCGATGCTGAGGAAGCAGACTACTCACAAAATCCTTGCAGGTAATTTTTATTTTTTTTTATTCATTGATTTATTTTTTTATCGGTATTTTTTATTCAAGGTGTGCAGTTTGTAGTTATAAAAAAAAATACGAGCATAAATAAAATAATATTTCACGTTATTGAAACCAAAAGAAAAGAACCAAAAAAAAAAAAATGATTTTTGAAAATTGAACTGAAAATATTATCACACCCAAATTTTTTATAATTGTCAATTTATGTTAAGGTAAAAGACCCAGTTATTGACACTTGCTATTTTATTTTAATTTAAAAAATAAATCAACTCTAATAAATTAATAAATTTTAAGAAAATTGGTTTTTTGAAAACATTTTATTTTTTTTTATTAGAATAAAATTGCGAGTGTCAAACAACTAGGCCAGTGTCAATAACTGGGTCTTTTACCTTAGGAGAAGTTAAAAATTTTATTTTAATTTTTTTCTTGGTAGTAGGATAGTAGCTCCTTAATGGTACTTTATATTACATATCATATTATATTATATTACATAGTTATCTTGTAGAATATTTGTATTGGTTTTATTGGCGTATTTATTTTCTAATAAAGTAATTAAATTAGTAAATCGATTAATTGCAGTTGTAGTACAGAAGACGGATGCTGCCGACGATGGTTCGGACTAGCTTTACTGTCACTAATAGTCCCGTGTCTATGGCTGTATCCACCTCTACGAGCAATCCACTGGTGTGGCATGAGCTGCGGCATTTGTGGAGGCCGTCACCATCCATCAGAATAACGTGAGGGACCCTTTGATATCTCTGCAGCGTTTACAATAACCGAGCCGCAATATCAATCGACACGCGGAGCCGTGGCAAATGTATATGAATGCCATGACTTGAATATGGGACGGTGCCAGAGATACCAAAGGGGCAGACAGCTACCGGTTCACGCGCTCATACATCAGCGTCATTTGTGAGTACTTCCAACAGAAGAATTCATTGTCGACACATTGTCTTTAGATAACGTGACCTTTAACATTATAGTCAGTGTAGAGTTTTATATGTGTACATGTACATTTATATATATATATATATATATATATATATATATATAAGTTTATGTATATGTATAGTGTTGAGCACAAGGTATAGAGCCGGTTACGAACCAAGAGACTAAACAGCAATGGAAGATTTTTATTGAAGATTTTTCGTTGAAGTTGAAGCCAGAAGTTAAGATCAGCTCTTGCGGAGGCGGATTTAATAGAAGTAATAACGATTACGTGTATTGAGTTTGGACTGATGAGTACGACAACGATAAGCTCTCTTGTAGTTTGCTATTGATTTATTTAATAGAGCAAACTCTCAACTCCTGTAATTATTTATAAAAAATCAACACCCCCGATTTTTTAATTGGCCATGACTTTGATTTATTTTTTAATAAGCTTAAACTAAAATTTATTTATGCTTTTCGTTGCAATTTTAGTTTTTAAAAAGCTTTATATTGTAAACTGTCTTCAGGACATTTTTTTTTATAATTTTTTTTATTTTATTTAATAACTTTCTTTTTTATAAGACAATTTTTAAAATATTTGATATTATGTTTATTATTATTATTATTACTACTACTATAATTATTATTATTAATATTTATGTTGATTTACATATATGTGTCATGAGTAATTTATAAAAGTATATGAATTAGCTTGTGATGAATTTCTTCGTGTGTTTTAACAATGTTAAGCAACTCCAAAGAGAATTAATGGAAAGCTAGATACATTCATGAATGTAATTTAATGTCGCGTAGGTGTAATAGAATTTCCCAGACACTGAGAAACACTCAATCTTGATCTAGTGAATTTTATGGTATAACTGCTTCATTTATGACAAGATAAAACATCTTTTAAATTTGTCACATTATTGATAATAACTATTTGTTATTTTTATTTTTTTATTTATCGATAGATGAATATTTAAATATTTTTTACTTTTATTTTTATTATTTATTTCTAAAAATGTTTCGCTCAAATTTATTTTGCACAAAGTGAATGAGAAAAAACTATTTAAAAATATATTTACATTTTTATTTTATAAAATGTCATGGACCTAATTTAAAATTCCGACTCAAAGCCAGTGAATCTCCTGATAAAAGTAAATAAATAAAACGATTTTATCCTCTATGTTTCTAGTATTCTAGTGAACCCCCGAGCTTTCAGTGTACAATTTATTGGTACGAAAAAAAAAATTAGAAAAAAAAACGTACGTAGTTATAAATACAAATAGTTATTAATAAATAATAATAATAATAATAAATAAATAAATAAATAAATGGATAAAATAATTTAAGACACAATTTAAAATTAAAGGTGGAAAAAAAAATTTTTCTCCTTCCTCAATTATATGTACGCGTAAATAATTGTAAAAGTATGATTGTATGAATGGTAAATAATTTAAAAAAAACAAAAAAAAAAATTATGTGAAAATGAAGATAGTGTGTAAATGAATTAATTAAGTAGTATTGCTAAGAACCATTGAGTATTTCTTATAATATCGATTTGTTTCCCTAAAACATTTCACCTGGGAACACAATGAAGCTTTAATGTCGCTTAACTCCGAAGTTTTATTACAATTAACACGTCTGTCGTTGATTTTATTTAAAAATTAAATTATATATAATTAATTCGCGTACTGTATGTGGTATTCATAAATTGAAAAAAATTAATTTAATATTAATTAATTAGCTGTCATTGATCCTCTGCAAACTTTATCACATTAATTTAAAAATTAAATAAGTGAATTGCAATTAAAAACTTTTTTAAAATTAATACCAACAAAAACAAACGTACTACCAATGAAATAAAATAATAATAATAATATATAATTGAAATCGTGTAATTTTAAATGAGTAATTAGTTTTTTTTCATTGGTTGTATGAGGGAGCAAAATACTTACATTTATTTATTTAAAGGTAATTAGTTGTGATTGTAAGTACAGATGCTTCTTTAGATTAAAAAAAAAAAAAAAACAAATTATAAAAATGAATAAAAGGAAATAAAAAGAAACAAACGTTAGTGTATTCGATTTTATATTGACTTTTTTACAGTTTTGTATGTTAAAAATGTAAAAGTGTACTTTTGAGAGCTCACTTAAGTACACTTGTCATTTTTTGCTTTAGAATAGCACGTTGTAGAATTGTAAACGTTATTTTGTACACTCGTTTGAGCACTCCTATGCACATCCATTGAAATTTTTATTAGTTTGTTAGATAAAAAAATTTTTTCTATTTAAATTATTGGTTTATAATTATTGAGAGAGTAATTGATTAATAATTCGATTGGATTGAATGTATAAATATTTAAAGACAACGCGCTGAGAATCTGAGGAAGTAGAAAAAAAATATTTAACACTGGATCTTGTTGGAATTATATTTGATATAAAAAAAAAAAAAGTAATTTGAAAAAAAAATATATATATATTTTTATTTTTTCGTGTAATTATATGTGCACGTACCGAGGTAGTTTGGTAGCTAAGCGTTTTCGAGATTAAAGGGTGAATTTAAATTTATTGCGACGATATTTTAAATGAAAAAAAAAAAAAAAAAACATACGCTTGTCATTTTGTGTTAAAAAAAAAATTAAAATTTGTTAAATATTATTGTAAATTATTCAATCATTGGTCGAATTAATTTTTATAATTTAAAAATTTTTTAATTAAGCTCAATAATTGAATAATTTATTTTATTTGTAAAAATTGAATTTTTAAAGACTAAATTAATTGAAAAAAATATTTAGATAAATTTAAAATTTTTGTCGATCATGTAAATATATAACGTATTGTTTACTGCCATAATTAACATTGTTTCAATTTTCATAGAGTAATTTCAAATCTTGTTTATTAAATTTGTTAAAAATTTATAAGTAATATTAAAAAAAAATTAATAAACAATATTGAAATTAAGTATTTGATTGTTAAACGTAAAAACGGATATATAATTTTTGTCTTACAGATTTAATAAGAAAGACAGTGGCGTTGAACAATTATATTATATATATATTTAATTAAATATCTTATTCTTTTAATTTATGAATAAGTACAAAAAGCTATTTTCTCAATAAGTCCGTTGTGATGACTACCAAATGATACGTGTGTAATCGTCTTGTAATTTTTTTGTCCGTGTTAATTAAATAATTAATTAATAATAAAATATTTAAAAAAAAAAAAATTAACTAATTGAAGGGAAATAAAAAAGACGATAACACGCGATGATTTAATGGAAGCACCGGGTAAAAATGTATGTGTATTTGCGAATGATTGTTAATTTTTGTTTATTAACAAATGCTTATTGTAATGTATGAGTGTAATGAAAGCGTATTTAAGATATTTTATGAAAAAAAATTAAATTATAAATCGATGAACAAATACAAAAATAATAATAATAAATAAATAAATAAATAAATAAACGTGTCTATTGTATCGAATATGTAACGCATATTTATTATTAAATTAATAAATAAAAGTAATTATTATTCGTTTGATTATTAAAGACATTTAAATAATCTTACGGATAAATGTTGATGTGTAAAAAAAAAATAAATTAATATTTTATGAAGAAAATTAATGGAACAAAGCGACATAGGTGTATTTAATAAATTTCTAATTGAGAAATTTTATTTGAGATTATCAGAGCTATCGGACTTAATATCTACCACGAGTACGAGGGATTAATTAAATATTTAAAATAATAATGTAATTTGTAAATGTGGTAATTACATATGTGTCATGACCTTTTTCTCTCTCTTAATTAACCCTCAAGGGCGTCCCAAAATAATATTAATAAATAAATAAATATATATATTATAATTATAATATTAATTTAATGCTACTGCAAACCCATCGAATAAGATTTTAATTGATAAATTCATAATATCATAAATGTTTAAATCTTGTATCATTGTAATTAAAAAAAAAATGAATGAAATTATGTACCATAATCTCCCATGAAAAATAAATATATTGTATCATGATGGAATATTTATCAAATATATTTATTAAAATATCCTTTTTAATTGAATAGTATATATAATTTGATTTAATTGATAGTTTAACTATCAGCTACTACAATTGTAAGCAATAATTGTCATATTTACATTTTTTTTTTATAATAATAATTGGTAATAAATAATTATCAATTAATATTAATACTAAGGAGAGTGATGATTTTTTACACGCAATCATTTTATTTTTTATTAAAATATTTAAAAAATTTTTTCGATCTTTGTCTAAAAAATTTTTCAAAATATTTTGTTTAATAAAATATGTAGCATATACTTTAAAGACCATTAATGAGGTGCTGGTGTGTGACCATCAACGTAGAAATTCCTGGTAGCTTTCGGCAGCTCTAATTTAATTCCTTCAAGGTCTTTTGTTAATACTATTTGACAACCTGTAAACACATTAGTTTACCCGATAAATTGAGGGTCGCAAATACATTACAGGTAATTTATTAGTTATTTTTTTTTAGAAAAACAATTTTCATATTTCTAAGTTAATTACCTAGTCGCGAGTTTTCTTTCAAAAAAGGAGCAAGATCCAGTAAATCTTCCTCTTTTTCAGTAGCTTCTGGCAATTTATCCGTGAAATTATGGTCAACGTAAACATGACATGTAGAGCATGCTAGAGAAGCTTCACAAGCTCCTTCCATTTCAATGTTATGTCTGTGTGCTAAATATAAAATATTATCACCAACTTTTCCTTTTATTTTGATTTCTTTTCCTTCTCTATCTACATAAACAACATTTACTCTGAAACAGATAATTTATTACTTAATTAACATTTTTTTTTCTTATCAAAGAATTATTTCAATTGATAAAATTGTATTAATTAATACTTACATTTCATCAGGGGACTTTGGGTCCTCCCATTCGTACTCTCCATTATCAAGACCTAGAATCGATAAATTAAATTATAATAAAATTAGTTAACATTTAATAATTATTTTTTTCATTAATTAAATTATGAAAATTAAGTTAGCCGACATCTAAAAATTTTTAGAATTTTTTTTTATCAAAGAAATTATTACAAAATAATAAAAAAAAATTTTCATTTGCAAAAAACTTAAAAAACTTCAAGTGCAATTTTTTAAAAATCTTTTTTAGTTCTAATTTAATAATTAAAAACAAATCAAAAAATTAGCTAACTTTAGTGTTATAATTAAATTAGAGCTAAAAAATATTTTTGAAAAAATTCAATTAAAAAAAATTCTAAAAATTGACAGATGTCTCCTAAATTAATTACACTTAAATCAGCTGACATCTGATGAATTCTAGGATTTTTTTCTAACAAATAAAATTCACTTGTGATGTGTCAAAAAATTATTTGTTTTTAGTATTAAATTAATTGTTGTAAAAAACCAAAAAAATGACAAATGTCAGCTGACTTCAATTTTATAAATTATGATTATTTATTGTTCAGAATTGATTTGATAAATTATTATATTTATATATTCAAAACAATTTATTTCCCGCCATAAAAATAAGGAGTGTGTTTATAAAAAAAAAAAAATACTTACGACTTGTAGTCTGAAAACATCGGGGACTTGATTTTAATAAGTTTCTAATTCGTAAAGGATCATTTTTGTATATACAACCAAATATAAAATGTTTTAATAATGTCATTGTAATTTTTAAGGGTATTTATAAAATTGTTTTTAAGGTTATACTCAAGCCATTTGCGTTCCGGAGCACGCGTAATATAATAAACTTGTCTGACTGATATAAAATAAAAAACAAATGTTGTTTAATGTTTGCTGATTTAACCGATACGCGGCGCCACAGTAGTGACTAAAAAATCAACAGAGCAGCGGCATGTTACTAAAGTCAATTTGGTTTAAAATAACCTAAACATTTTAAGTGATTTTAAGTAACTGTAATCCAAAAACATTGCACATAATTTACCAATTGCAAAGACAATTTATCAATTACAAATTATTTAATTTGCTAACAAGTTGCATTAAAGACTGAAAACTTGACATAAAATTAATAAAAGTGTAAGTATAAAATTCTTAAAAATTTTTTTATTTTGCCAAAATACTAATTTTGTTTTTTTTTTTTATTTTCAGATAAAATAATGGTTGTATTAAGCAATTTCTTGACACCCCAAGAAGGCATCAGACATGAAGAACCAAACACAACTCTTTACTTAGATGATAGAGAGGTAGGAAAAGGTACACTTTACATAACAGAAAGGTAAGACCTTAAAAGTAAACTTGAAACTTGCTATAAAAATTCTTCAAGTAGGTTTCATGTTCACTTTAACCGGTATTTTGCCACTATTTTTTCAGCGTACTGTCATGGGTTAATAGCACTACGCAGCAAGGCTTTTCTCTAGAGTATCCTCACATATCTATCCACGCAATCTCACGAAATGAAGTAAATCATCCTCGACATCATCTATACGTGGTGGTTGATGCTAAAGTTGACCTTCCAGGTAAACAATAGGATCATTATGTCTACGTGACTTTTAAATTTATTTTAATAAAAAAATAATAATTTCTTTAATAAATAAGTGAACTTGACTAATTAATTAATTATTGTTTAGGTTTCGAGGAAGTACCGCAAAATGAAGAAAATTCAGATGATGATGATGATAATTCAGAACATGTGAATACTCATATGAGGTTTGCACCTGATAATACTCAGAGCTTGGATGCCATGTACCAGGCGATGAGTCAATGTCAGATTCTCCATCCTGATCCCAATGACTCTCATTCGGATGGTAATTTGTTTAATATTATTATTATTATCATTATTATTTATTTATCATTTATATTGCTATATGAGATTTCTCTCTTATTCAAACTTATACTCACAATATTCACTGTACAAAGCTGATTGGCGTAAACTTACCAAATAAATAAATAAATAAATTATTAAGAGAATAAAAAAAATTTTGTTTCCAAGATAGTCATATGATAAAATCGGTTTGTTTAGTGTCATTGCCAAGGTCTTGACTTGAATTTGTGCCTTTTCAAGGTTTCATATCATTTTCACCGATATTTAATTTATATGATAGGTATTTAGGCTGCATTCGAAAATACTCTATCTCTAGATACATAATTAAGAAATGACCATGTAGCTCGTGAACTATTGACATTTTTAAAGATATAAGCTCATCCCGATGTTACACGCATAGAGACCTTTCATTTGAGTACCCACATCAATTTTTCATATATTTATATATATTATATATATATATGTACAGTGAAACCTGTATAAGTGAGACTTGAAGGGACTAAGATTTTTTTCTCACTTACCCGAGTTTCTCATACAGAGTGGGAAACTTAGATAGACAAGGTCAAAGAATAATAAATAGAAATAGAGAATATACATTACTATACTGTATAATAGAATATGAAATAATACAATATGAAATACAGTAATTCACTTATAAAATTCGGTCATTTTAGTTTGCTTTAAGTTCCAATCAGCAGTCAATAATTTTTCAATGGCAAATAATTTATCAAAAATAGTTCTCATATCATTAATATTGGAAAATTCGAAATATTTATGCAATGTCCACAATGCTTTTTCCGCGTCAGATTTGTATACTTTCTCAACTGGTGCTTCTTCTTCTTCTTCTTCCTCTTCTGTTTCTATACATGAGATTGCAGCAGAAACGATATCATTATCGGTCAATTCCCCTGAAGTCATTACATCCTCATCAATATTGACATATTCGTTGAATTGCAGTTGCTGGTTGTCATCATTTATTACTTGAGCCCAAACATCGTCACTAATTGTAGTTGTTTCTTTTTCTTGTTCATTACCTTGTGAATCAAACGCATGTAACTTGAAACCTGATTTTCTAAAACTATTTGCAATTGTAGTCTTACTGACAGAAAACCAAGCTTTTCTAGCGAATCTCATAGCTTGTAAAATGTTTATTCCAGCGCTTACATTGTCTTCTATAAATGTCACAATATGATGAACGACTTCTTTTCTATAAAAAACGCATACTAAAAGAATGTTACCAATACAATGGGATAAATAGCTTCAAATACGAGAGAAAAGAACTAGTAAGTCCTGAAAAAATGTCTCACTTATAGAGGTTCATCAATATCACTAAAAGAGGTTTTTTAGTGCAGAGGTACCGGGACCTGAGAAAAAGTCTCGCTTACAGAGGTTTCTCACTTATCCAGGTCCCACTTATCTAGGTTTCACTGTATATATGAAAAATATATCAAAAATGCATGTGGGTACTCAAATGAAAGCTCTTGATGAGTTTAACATCGAGATGAGCTTATATCTTTAAAAACGTCAATATTTAAGAAAGTACAGTGCAATTTAACAAAAGTCATTATTTAATGAAGCAAAATTTTATTTATTTATAGTTCACACAAGTCACGGCAGTCACATAGTGACTGCAAGGTTGCTAGTTATTATTATTAAAAATGTAAAATTTAATTGTACAAATTGTTAATCTAAGTAAAAAATAAAAAAGTACATTTAACTTTATTCAATAAAATTATATTTCTTCTTAGATGAAGAAGATGATGAAGACAAGTTTGAAGATGCTGAACCACATCATGGAGCAAAAGAAGACGACGGAGAAGACGAAGAAGAATATAGAGATGCATATGAAATTGGAGCAGGCGACGCACCACATATTTTACCTCCAGGTAATTTATTTATTTTATTTCTATTGAAGAATTTGATGATAATTAATAGATAATTAATTGTTACTAAATTTTTAGAATCTCTAGCAAATAATCAAAATGGAAATGGCAACGGAAACAACTTTGAAGATATGGATGTCGATGATGGTCGATTCGACGACGTCCCTGATCAGCATAATTAAAGAACAGAATTATTAAGCATTAATGGTTAAACCCTTATCGATTTGGCTATAATAAATACTAAATACTGCACTTGATAGTTTAGATCAACGCTACTCACCGCAGTAATTCATAAATATAATAGTGAAGAAATAAGAAAAAAAAAAAAAAAACACAAAATTAAGTATTCCACCTTAGAATATCACTTAAAAACATAAATAACATTAGCTACTGTACAATTAAAACATACTGCATTTATTATTTTTTTTTTTTTTTTTGAAGCACTAAACTTTATTTATATTCATTTTGTACATGGCAATAGAGTCTCATGAATTGAGAACAATAAAATCATTAACATGATAACACTGACAGAGTAACTGAATGGCGTAGCATAACTTTGTTTTAGTTATTATTTTATCTTATAGTATATCAACAATTAGTATTTATTAGTAATTAGTAATCACAGAGTAATTTTTACTTTAATTTACTTATTACTTGTCCATCAAAATTTTAACTCTAAGACTAAATTACATCGGAGTTATATTGGTGATAAAAAATAAGTACATCTTTGAGTACTATTCGTAAAAAATACAAAAAATTATACACTTAAATATTTTATTAATTAATCAAATTAACATTTATTTTAATTAATTTTTTATACGAAATAAAATCGCAACCAAAAGTAACTACTTTTTTTTTTTTTTTTGAGCTCGACCGAATATCAAAAAATATACAATTTTTTCACTTATTAATATTCATATAAATACTTGGACGTTGGAAGTTTTAAAAATATTTAATTATTCCTCAGTAATTAATAATTAATTATCCAAAACAATAATCCCTAGTCTACCTAATTTTTTTCGGCCCAAAAATAAGATCAGCGTCCGGCGCGCCTTTAGGATGATTATACTTCTGTCGTCTCTCCCTATTTAAATTAACAGTAACAGGCCTAGCGCCCTGATTAATCGTCTCCTGGTAGTCTTCTTCCTCCTGTCGCTCAGTAATATTAAGCGTCAACCTCTTAACCCTTTCCTTTTCTTCCTTTTGTTCCTGTTCCCGATTCCTTAAGTTCATCGCCAATTCCGAGGACGAAGGAACCGCGAGATTTTTATACTGCTGCTTGTTCCCCTTCCTGACCATCAAAATAAAGTCAACCGTGGATTTATCAGAAGGTCCCTCCTGGAGCTGTTCATAAGTCTTCTTAGAATTCTTAACATGAATCGGAACGGAGATATCAACCTGAGGAGGCTTGACATTGTCCCTCATCCTATCCTGGATATTATCCGACACAATTTTATCCAAAGCCGAGAGAAAGTCGTCATCTTCCGGACAGTTGACTCTTTTGGGTCCAGCTGGTAGAGCAGCATCTATCTCAGCAGAGTCCAGAATCACTCCTTCATTGATTCCTTGAGACAAGCTTTGCTCCTGAGTGTTCTCAGCAGTTCCAGCATTTTCATCTCTGTCTCCTATGACCCAGTCTTCTTCCGACTGAGCTTCTGAAAAGTCCTCAGCTTCTTCAAAATGTAACTCAGCCATTCCTTTGGCATCTCCACTGCCACCATTAGCTCCCCCAGCTTCTTCATCCCCTTCAGGAATCACTCCCATGTCCGTATCATCGCCTATATTATCGTCCTTGACCTGCAACGAGGGGTACAAAGTATTCCTCAGCTCTTCAATGGCACACTGTGACTCCTTGTAGCTGGCAAACAGCTGCATCTTGGGTCTCAACATCGCCAGAGTGTCGCGGTACATATAATCAATACCAATTGGAAAAACATTGTCCGGAGTCCAAACAGGATCAGTGTACTTTAACCAATAATAATTCTGAAAGAAAATAAGAAAGTAATCCAATTTCTTCTTGCTAGACCCACCACTGAAGTACTGACCGCAAGTCTCCAGAAGCGTACAGACCAGCCGGATGCGAAATAAATGATCAGGAGGGTCCAGCGGACTGGGAACTGCATGGTCCATGCTCACACCAAAGGTAATCAAAAGATAAAGCGTTCTAAAAATATCTCCGCTCTCTACCATCCGGTAATTGTACAGCTCGCCTAGATACTTAACCATCGCGATTCTCCGCTGATTATATTTAGGTAAATTAATCTCCATGCAGAGACGTATGTCTTCTAGGACACCATCAACCACGTGGGGCCCGACTGCCTCATAGTGAGCCACTAAGCCTGCTAAAAGACTCCCGACGCACCTGATATTTAAATACTTGACATTATAAGCGGCAGTAAGACACTTAATGGCATAAGAAGCGACATTCTCATCGTCCCAGTCGAGCTTTCTCATCAGCTTCAATACTTTATCAGTGTTGGTCTTGGACAGATCTTGAAAAAGCAGCTTTCGGATGAACTCGTGCATCGGCGGTCGATCTTTTTTAGAGACTCCTCCCGATGACTCCGGTGGGTTTACAAAGTAATAAGCGTTCTCTATTATGGTGACGTATCTAGAATCCAGAGCAGTCACCGCTTTCTTTCTCATCATCTGCTCCAAGTAGACTTTGGTCCGCTGATGGGAGTCCACTGAGCAGAACAGGAACCTCCCGCAAGTCTCCAGAAGATTGCAGGCCATCTCGATGTGGTGGTGAGTGAAATCATGCAGCAGAACTTTGAGACAGTAGAGAGCTTCGATCTTGGAGTACAGTTTGAATTTAACCAGTTCGCCGATGTATCTTACCACCTTGACCTTAGATTCGATGTTTATCTGGTCCTTTTTGCGCACGTGGTACCTGAAATCGTGCTTTAACATAGTACAGAGCTCGTTAGCGACGTCTGGCATTACCGGGTACAAAATAGCCGCCAGACGAGAGTAAAAAGGCAGCAAATCCAAGCGGATTCTAGAAACTCCAAACAAAGCTTTGATTAACTTTTTCTTGTTGTGTTTGGTGTTGAGATTCATCAGAAAGTCCACGGCGGCGTTGTCGATCATCTCTCTGTTCACACAATTGGGTAAGTGGGTCAGAAACGCGTCCAGTAGAATTTTGTTGCTGATATTGGCTACCTGAGGCTCTTCAATCTCTGGTTCAGGCTCTTCGACCTTCTCGATGTCTTCCAGCTCTTCTAGAGTTATTTCTTCGTCCAGCGCTTCCTCAGTAATCGGAACTTCAGTCTTTGGAACCTCTTTCAAGTAAGAACCCGGCAGAAAGACCGTCAAGTCAGGAAGAACTTCGTAAAATCTCCTTGTCTCGTCGTCACCCCACATGTCTTCCATCAAAGAATTTTCCTCGCTTTCGGTTATCAGCTTCAAGGTATCGTCAGACTCATTCTTAACCTCGCTGGCGACTGGCAGCTGCGGCATGGGTTCATCCAGAGTTTCTGCAAAATTTTGAACATTCGCCATCAGTCTGTCGTAAGACACCTGAAGGGCTTCCATTTTTTCCTTGCGCTCAGAACTTAGCTCGCCTCTGGTCTGAAGAATTTTCCGGTTCTGCTTCTCGAAAGCCTGCAGCTCTTTGTGGTCCTTCAACAAGTGCTTGCACAGTGAGTTGTAATAATCTCTCAGCAAGGAACGAACATTCTGTTGCTTCTCTTGGGTCAGCACCTTGCTTTTTGGTATCTCTATCTCCAACTTTTCAGACAGCTCGCGGATTTTTTTCGGTACTAGTCCTGCGTAGTCTTCACCGCAATGTCTGCAAAAACTCAGGATGATATTGGCGTTGTTGTGCTCTTCTTTGTCCATGTTTATCAGGACAGTCAGGACTGATCCCAGAAGCGGGAGGCCTTGCTTATGCGTGAAAATACCAGCGTTGACCAGCTCTGCGTAGAAACGCAAATCAACGCGCAATTTTGATGGATTATTTATTTTTTCTCCTACTTTGAAATTCAACACGCGCTGCCAATTTTCGAAAAAATGCGTGGAGAATTCTGAGTATGTTTGGTGTAAAAATGTACATATTTTAATAGCTGCTTGCACGTCGGTCATTTTTAACTTTGCGTCAACCAATGCGGTTGCTATTTCACTCACATATTTGGTCAAATTTAAATTCGCCATGTCTTTTAAAAATTGGTCGACTTGCGCCGCGTTGAAACTCTTCAATTTTTTTACCAGGGTCGTATTTTTTTTTAAATTTGAGTCTAGTTTACTGAAATAAGAATCGGGAGGTCTTGAGATGTTGAGATTTGAATTTCTGATTTCTTCTTTAGCAGCCAGTCGCATCTCCACGTCCTTTACGTAATCTAATACCAATTGTCGTTCTTCCTCGGTAGTATTATCACCAGCTTCAACATCTCCGGCTGGTGGATCTTCCGCTACGACTTCCATGGCTTCCTGAGAATCTTTCTCTACTTGTTTCTTGTCTTTTTCCATCTGCGTCATTGTTATTTTTTAATTCTAATAAATAAATAAATAATTTAATTAATATAAATAAATAATTTAAAAATTTGTTTTGTGTTTACCTTGGTTAGTTTCTGTTATTTGAGGTTAACTTTATTCAATAATTCCTCGTGATATTCCCTCGCTGTTTTAATTTTGTCATGCTTACAAAAAAAATTTTTTTTTTCACCACTTTAATTATTTAACTATTTATTTGCATCAGTCAATTATTGTTTATAATTTTTTTTTATCTTACTTGTTATTGTAGATTACTTAATCAAGTACAATCTATTTATCCACACACAAAAAATAAAAACATATGTTTTTCTTTTTTTTAATTTAATAATTCTTTTGTATATACTAATTGCAAGTAAGTTAGAACTCTGTCACTGTTAGTTAATGAACTATAGCACTTGATATAATACCCGCCATATATTTATTCCACAACTGTAATAATTCTTTGTTTATAATTTAAATTGATAACCTAACTTTTGTCGGCGTTTCCGTTTTTTGTTTATGAAAATATTTTGTCATAAAAATTCTTATATAAAATAACTTATTTTCTAGAAAAAAAAAAAAATAAATTTTTTAATTACGATCACTGTTAAGGTAAGAAATGTTATTTTTATTAGAAATAAATTATGAAAAAAAATGATTTTTAATTCTTTTTAATTTCTATGACATTAAAATAAGCAATCACTTGTCCATTGTTTTAAACAAACAAATTTGTTAATAAAAATTATTTTTAAGAAATTGGATTTTGTATTTTTTTTAAATTTCTAATTGTCAATTTTTTTTTGCGATAATTTATTCGTTAAAAATAAATTCTTAGTATTGTTAAATATCTGCTGAATTAATTTTTATTAAATTTCTAGATGTGATTTTTTTTTATTGAAATTTTTTCACAATTTACTTGTTATAAAAATCCAAAAAATTGGCAGGTGTCTGTTAATTTCACTTTCAAATTCATTTTAATAATATTTATCTGTCATTATTATTATTTTAGTGAACCAGATCTAAAATGAATACTGAATTAAGTCCATCGCAAATGGCTTGCAAGTTGACGATGACCAAGTTGAATATATAAAATTGCTATTAGAAAATGGAATGGATGTAAATCAACCAATCATAACAACCGGAGAATTTGCGGGCTTCACAGCATTACATGTTGCGTGCATGGAAAATGAGATTGAATTGGTGCGGTTACTGATTGAGAATTATGGAGCAGATGTCAATGCCACGGCTGCTGATGGGACTCAACCCATACTTTTGGCTTGTTTTTATGAAAAATGCCACGATGACTTATGTGAGTATCCTGAGAACAGTACAACAGGCATATTGGCGCATGCCAAGGCAAATAATGATATCGAATTTGGTCAAGAAATTTTGTCAAAGCACTTTAAAAACAGACATTGGTATAACGATTTCGGTGACAAAATACCACTAGTTGCTTATCTTGTTTTGAATGATGAATCAGAAAAAGCTGATTTTTTTAAAGAATGTAACGTAAACATTATAAGTCTAACGAATAAATCATTGCTGATGTACCTTGTGGAAATGGACCGTTCTTTCACCATTGAAAAATTAATGTTATTTGTTAAGGATCCACTATTGAAAGATAAGCTGATAAATCATCGCGATGATTATGATGTACCGCTATCCCATTATCCGTTTCATCCTAAAAAATATGGAAATTTTCGTTGTCACAGAGATACGGTGTTCGGAACCACTGGCTACAATTTTTTTATGGAATTATTAAAGTCGGGCGCTGACATATGTATACACTGATAAATAATGATCCGGCAACATTTTTACCTAATCTAGCAGCTTACAGATGGTCTACATGTAAACTAGAAGATTTTTTACCTTATTATACTTCCATGTCCCTATCTAGAGTTTTACACTACGCCACGCTTCCTATCGATGAAAATTCTGATAAAAATTGAGCGAAGTTATTATCTGGAAAAAATCAAACAAAATAGAGAAGAGTGCATTGAAATTGTTTTGAAAGATCTGGTCTATAGACGTGCATTAAAATTACCTGTTCCAACAGAAGAACTAAAATTAATGGATCAATTAATTGCCACCGACAGAAAAATCAGTGACATTGTCAATAAGTATAACAGAAAAGTCACTGAATCATATTCCCTGAGTGTAAATATGCAATTCGGTGATAAAGAAATGAAAATTTTTGATTTTTTAATTCTAGTCACATAATGACAATGACTTCCGTTATTACTGCTATAGTCCAATTATAAGGAGAATAAAATATGCTACGGACAGATTGAAACTTCTCGAAAATTTGAAGAAAATTTCTTCTCTTAGAAAAGCTATACCGTTGTCTTATGAACTGCGGTGTTAGAAATTGCTGAGTACCTTAACAACATACACTTAGCTTCGTTCATAAGATCTTTTTATATCTAGTAATTTTATACGGAGTTTTCTATAATTTGTAAACAAATCTGTTGAGTAAAAATAACAACAAAAATCATTTTGCTGTTTAATTTTTCCAATCATCGACACCCATTTTTTAAATTAAAATTATTGGTGAAACCATCTGCCGTAAAAATAATTATGACGGCTTTGTTTATTTGTGGTAAGTATTTTTTTATACAGACCTTATGCAATTAATAAAAAATAAGAGTTATAAATTATCAATTAAAACACTTACAAAATTAATTATTCAAGCATAAATAAATAAAATGCCAAATCTGTTGTTGACTAACGCTAATTATGAATTAATTAACGATAAAATTAATTTTAATATTCTCTGTAACAATTTATGTTCATTAACATGTTCACAGGGTAGCAAAATTACTTCTCTTGGGCTTTTTTTGCACATTACGCAAATATGATCTTCTTGTAATTAAGATCCGTACTATACTATATTAATTTTTATTAAGGAATAAAAATATTAATTATCAGATAAAAAAATTAATTTAAAAAATTCAATTCCAAAATCTTTATGCAGATGTAAATTTTTAAAATTATAATTTAATTATTGAAAATGAAGTTTGCCGACATTTTAAAATTTTTTTATTGAAAAAATTTCAATTAAACAATTAAAAAAAAAAAATTGTCACATGTAAAAAACTTGAAAAACTATAAGTGCAATTTTTTAGAAATATCTTTTTAGTTGTAAATTAATTAATAGAAAAAATAAAAAATTTTCAGACGTCTGCTAACTTGAGTGTCATTTTAATTAATAAAAAAAATTTTTTAATTTTTAAATAGTGCATGTATAATAAACTTCTAAACTTCTTGTTACTAATTGCAGGTAAGGTAGAACAATAGCACAAAAAAAATATGGTCATGCGCACAAGTTTTCCTCATCAGCTGTCAAATTTTTCATGAGACATTGTTCTACGGATTTTATCTATTTAATCGGTTTGTACAGACATTTGTACACATATATACATATAAGAGTACTTATATGTACACATATTAATACACTTACATGTAGCATATATTTATGCTATTACCATATTTAAATTTTTTACGCTTGATAGCAGTATTGTCACACTGATGACTAGTTAATTTTTAACCCTAAAAATTACCATTATTTATTTTACGTTTTTGTATATATATATATATATATATATATATACACGGCAAAATATCTTAAGCAACATAAGCAACGCATTGACCCAATAAAATTGTTTATTAACAATAATGTCGCTTAATAAAGTTATTTGTAGTTATTGATATAAAAGTGATAAGAGTTTGAGGTAAGAAAGAGTTATAAATATTTTTGTTTTATTGATTTCCTCTAAAATCATTATAAATGTTAAATCTTTTCAAAAGACATTGAAATTCCAATTAGATTACTCATTTCATACTATCATTTGATCTACTTTCTCGCTTAGTACGAGTAATATTTTTCCTTATCATGGAAGTATGTATAGAATGTAATTAGTTGTAAAAACTAATGTGATAGTAAATTGATATTAAATTGCTTGTTTTTTAACAGAGAATTTGGAATGTAGTCATGGCTGCTGGAGGCGGCGGAAGTTTCATAAGCAAACCTGCACGAGGATGGCTACACCCTGATCACTTAGTCAGCAAAGAAGGAATTACTTATGCTGTCAAAGTAAGTATTTTTTTTTTTTTTTTAATAATTATTCATTAATTACTAATAATTTTTTATTTTTAGTACATAGGATGTCTGGAAGTTTATACGTCTATGAAAAGCCTGGATTTTGAGACAAGATCATGTGTTGCCAAGTAATTTATTAAAAATAATTAACTACAATTATTTACTGATTTTTTACTAATTAAATTTAATTTTCAGAAAATGTATAAACCGAGTTTGTGAAGCAGCGGGTTTGAAAACTGCTGATAAAAAACGTAGAGTAAGTTTAATAATTTCAAGCAATGATTAATTGTTAATAAATAAATAAATAAATAAATAATTTATTTTAATGCTCCGTAGGTTTCTCGCAGAGTATTAAATGCGATTGCCGATAAACCATGCATGGAACATGCAGGCGATAATATAAATTTAACCATAAGCAGTACCAGCTTAACGCTGACGAGCTTGGACACTGGTCAAGTAATTGCCAAGCATGCGATGCCTCGGATTTCATTTGCCTCAGGAGGTGACACTGAAATTCTAGACTTTGTCGCTTACGTCGCGAAGGATGTCCAGGAATGGCGAGCTTGCTATGTACTTGAATGCGGTGGAGGACTGGCTCAGGATGTTATTTCGACCATTGGTCAGGCATTCGAGCTGAGATTCAAAGAATTTTTGACCAAGCCATCGAGTTTGCAGTAATTATTTAACTATTTATTATTACATAATATTTATTTTTAATGGCATTGCTATGACCAATTATTATCAATATTTATAGCCCTGAATTGAATGGTATTCGAGAGCCAGATCGTGATTATTATAATGATCTTCCTGGTAAAGTCCCGCCGGATATAGGACCACCTCCGGTACCGCCACTTCCTATTACGGCTTCAACGCTTCCTAATTTGAAACATCATTCAAGTTCAAATTCAATGAGCTCAAATAATACACAGTGTGCGTCTTCGTTAGATTCCTATCCTAATGGAAGAGGAAGAAATTCTTCTGTTCAATGGCCTGGTATTTTATTTTATTACCGATCGAATTAATTAGAAAAATTTGAAACATAAATTTTATTTGTTGACAGAATCCGGAAATCTTATTGATTTAAATTCCGATGGTGCAACTGTGATGCCTTTAACTCCACCTGAGCATAATTATGTTAATGATACAGTAATTGCTGCTAATAGAGACACTAGAAAAGAACCATCCTTATTTGATGCCTTTGATATGCGTAAGGATTCATTTAACACTTGATAATTTTTTAATTATTTAGTTAAAATTTATTATCATTATCATATTTTGTATTACTTTTATTAAATCTCTAAATGTTCGTATTCATTGAAAAATAATAATAATAATAACAAAATTTTTGACTATTATTATTATTATTTAGCTATTTAAAAATTTGATTAATAATAACAATATGAATAACAGAGAAACTCAAAATTTATTATTATTATTTTTTTTTAGAACCATTTAGTACAGCTATATCTGAAATGAATAAGCTGAGCCCCAGGTCACAAAAACAACAATTAAGACAAGAGGTCTGGTATCACGGGAGTGTTAGTAGGTCTGAGGCTGAGTCAATGCTGACTAAAGACGGCGATTTCCTTGTACGAGAGTCCCAAGGTTCTCCTGGACAATATGTTCTCACGGGTATGAACAATGGAACGCCTAAGCACTTGCTTTTAATTGATCCAGAGGGAGTGGTAATTTTTATTTTCATTCATATAACTTTTTATTATTATTATTATATTATAAAATAAAAGACCCAATTATTGACACTGGCTTAGTTGCTCGACACTTGCAATTTTATTCTAATTAAAAATTGACACTTGCAATTCTAATTAAAAAAATAAAATGTTCTCAAAAAACCAATTATATTTAAATTTATAATTCAAAAATTATATTTATCAATTTATTAGTCGATTTTTTTTTTTATTTATTTAAAATAAAATTGCAAGTGTCAATAACTGGGTTTTTTTATCTTATTTCTCTTCTCTGTTTAAAAATACTGATTAAAGATAATTAAAAAAAAATGAAATTCGAATTTTTTTCAATACTTTCAATTCTTTTGTTTGCATATAGTGTGCAAACTTTCTTATTTTTCTTTAATTAATTTTCTAAATTAATGTTTTTTAATTTTATATATTTTTGCCGAGAGGCGTATGGTGATAAATAAATAAATAAATAAATCAATAAGTAAATAAATAAATATATAATTCTTTTCAATTAGTATTTTTAACCAGGGTTATAATAAATCTGAATTTTTTTAATTTTGTTGAAATTCAAAATTCTAGGTCCGAACCAAGGATCGTATATTCGACAGCGTTAGTCATTTAGTTAATCATCATTGCGACAATGCCCTGCCAATTATTTCGGCAGACAGTGCTTTGGTACTGCGATATCCAGTACCTCGGCGTACGGAGTTTTAATTTTAACCTCTGTTTAATTAAATTTAATCAATTCACCAGGAAGATAATAAATTATAATAACTTATTTAAATTAAAACTTGGAAAAAAAAAAAAATTATATACTATTTTGAATGGACGTTGAAGCTTCAGGTGATTAATATAAAAAGTCTCTAAACCTGATCTGAGCTTCCGTGAAGAGACACAGACTGCAGTTAAAAGGCTTTGTAAAATAGTGCCACATTGAACGCATTTTTATTAAAATTTTAGATGTATTTGTTTTTAAAATATTCTTCCTGCCTATTGAATATTTTTTTTAACCAGCGATTTATCTATTGATTAATCGGCTGACTATTTAATTGAATGACTAATTATAAATATAATATAAATTGTAACTATTATTTGTAAACGTTTTAAAAGTTAAAGTAGCTACGTAGCAAAATATCTTCCTACTTTTTCTCGAAGCATAATTTTATTTTTATATATATATGTATTTTAGAGAAAAAAATATACAAGTTAGACGTATACTAATTGCGATTAAACCAATTACCAGATGAAATATTGAGAATAATAAATGTATAATTATATAAAAAATTAATGTCATACTGAGAAGTATTTAATAAAAATTATTGTTCAGAGAATCATTGATTATAATTGCGAGTATATATTTTAAAAATATATATCAAATTATAACGCACTTTTTTATATTTTCATACATGAAAAAATAATAGAAACGCAGTGTAATAATTATTAATATTATTATTTACTTATTTGTTAGATATTTTAGTTGTAATTTTATGAACGAATGCTACGCATTTTTTATCATACTATCATATTGATTAATTATAATCATTCAAGTCATTTACTTTACTCATGTCAATAAAGTCTTTTACCTCATAAATTAATCTGTGTTTATTCATTTAAATCTTCAAGTAAGGGCAAACTTATTAAATCTTTATCTGAATTTTCATCCAAATTCTAAAAACAAAAAATTTAATAAAAATTTTTTTTTTTTTAATTAATTTTATGACATTAAAATTAGCAGTCACTTGATTATTTTTTAGTTTTTTTAACAAATAAATTTCAGTAATTATTTACAAGTGGGGTTCAGCCTATTTTTGGCCACATCTTGGTGAAAAATTAACATTAAAATTTTTTTTTTTTTATTCTGCTTGTTTTTACGCCGTATTTATGATAAAAAATATCGTGAAAGAAAAAAAAAATAAAGATTTCAATAGCTTTTTTGCCTTCAAAAGTTGGAAAAAATTTTTGCTCTCATATGTTTTTGGATAAAATTGTGATAATTAACTTTTTTTTTTAAATGGTTCATTTTTTTGTGTATTTAAAAATCAAATAGAAATTTCGTTTAAAAAAATGAAAATAAAAATGTTGAACCCGACTTGTAAATAATTACCTAAATTTGTTCCGAAAAATTATTTTAAAAAAATTGCATTTTTAATATCTTAAAATTTCTACATGTCAATTTTTTTTTTCTAATTTTTTTACTATAATTTATTTGTTATAAAAATTCTTAAAATAATCAAATCTCTGCTAAATTAATTTTCATTTTAATTTTACAAACCTCAGGGTACTCATATTTATAAATTTTCTTTTCTATTAGAGCTTCAGGTATATCTTCTTCTTTTTTTGACTCTCTCACTAAAGAATTAGGAATCATTTTACTAAGCCACTCAGAAATTTCCAATTTACAATCCTGAGATTTGTCTAAAATTTCTCGCTTTTGTTCATCAAATTTATCCTCGAGCCTCTTTTGCATCTCAATCTCCTTAGCCAGCCCATCAACATATTTTTCCCAATCTTCGTAGTTCATCACAGCCTTTTTTTTCTTCATCTTCTTGCGCTTTTCGGAAAGCTCCGCGATGCCCAACTCAATAGCTTTGATATCACGCTCACGCAATCTTAAATGCATTCGCTTTTGCTCTTGCACCAAGGCATCGAGACGCGGAACTTCTGAAGAGAGGGCCAGAGAACACAGAGGTACACTGCTCACCGGATGTAACACTCGGCTTTTAATTTCATCCTCTTCATAGTCTAGGTATTCATCCTCATCTTTGGCTACAAGATCCTCTTCTTTCTCCTGCTCACTGATGTTCTTTATTTCTATCTGCTCTTTATACTCCCTCGGTAAGTCTACACACAGAATGATTATTCAAATTATTATCTATATTGTTAAGATAATAAAAAAAAAAATAAAATGAAGATTAATTACAATTTTCATGAGGAAGAATATATAGATGTTTTGCAACGCTAAAAATAATGTCTCCTCGCAATGAAGAAAATGTTAGTCGCTTTGCAATTAAGTTTACTTCAATTATCTAAAAAAATAATTATACAAATTTAATTATTTTAATTAATCAATAGCAACTTTGCAGTCACTACGTGACTACTGTGACTTTTGAATCATAAATAAATAAAATTTTGCTTTATTAAATAATGACTTTTGTTAAAATGCACTGTACTTTCTTCACTATTGACATTTTTAAAAATATAAGCTCATGCCGATGTTACACTCATCAAGAGCTTTCATTTGAGTACCCTCATGCATTTTGATATATTTTTCATATATACATATATATATAATATATATAAATATATGAAAAATTGATGTGGGTACTCAAATGAAAGGTCTCGATGAGTATAATGTCGGGATGAGCTTATATTTTTTTAAAAATGTCAATAATTAAGAAATTATATTGTATTTTGTCAACTTATAATATTTTTACATACATAATTAAGAAATGACCTTGTATCTTGTAAACTATTGACGTTTTTAAAGATATAAGCTCACCTCGACATTACACTCATCGATACCTTTCATTTGAGTACCTACATCAATTTTTCATATATTT